TACGCGCTAACCACTGCACCACCTGCATGCCCAGCTTTCTATTTATTTTTTGAGGTTTTATGGCACTAATGGCTCGTTTTTGTGAGAGTAGGCTGACAGGAAAGGTGGTATGAGAGAGGGGGCGGGACATGCGGCAAAGGACCACAGGCCAGATTCGAACCCGGGTCGCCCACATCGAGGACTAAGGCCTCCGTACATGGGTTGTACGCGCTAACCACTGCACCACCTGCATGCCCAGCTTTCTATTTATTTTTTGAGGTTTTATGGCACTAATGGCTCGTTTTTGTGAGAGTAGGCTGACAGGAAAGGTGGTATGAGAGAGGGGGCGGGACATGCGGCAAAGGACCACAGGCCAGATTCGAACCCGGGTCGCCCACATCGAGGACTAAGGCCTCCGTACATGGGTTGTACGCGCTAACCACTGCACCACCTGCATGCCCAGCTTTCTATTTTTAACATTTTAGTTCACCCCTAAAGACATATTCAGAAAATGTACAAGTTGACATGAGTCACCTGTGTGAACTGGCTGAGCAGCGGTGAGCTGCGCACCAGCTCCAAAAGGTTACTGGGCAAGCCGAGTCGCTGGAAGAACCAGAACAGATTCCAGAAGATGATGGAGTGGCTGTCCAGGAACTGCGGCTGGGCCAGAACCGACTCGCCCTCGTTCTCCAGCAGACTCTCCAGCTCCTTTCTCAGAACCAGAGGACTCAGATAGGCCACCGTCACCTGAGGAGTCGCTCCCACCGACGACACCTGAGGGAGGGGGAGGAGCCTGTCAGTGCCTGAGGACCAAAAGAGGAACGGCGATGGGGGGGTTAGATGTTACCGTGGTGGCCTTGCTGGTCTCAGAGTAGGTGCTGGTTTCAGAGCTGGAGTCGTCGCTCAGTCCGTTACAGTGAGGTCGCAGAGAACCCTCATGACCACCAGGGGGCCTCACAGCACTCTCCACCTCGTCCTCCAGGTTCATGTTACAACGCTCCGCACTGAGAAAGAGCAGCAGAACCGGTAATGCTACAGAACCTGGAGCAATAGACCGAGCTCTTCCTTCTCCTGTTTCTGTACCTGCTGACGGGTCCCAGGTCGCAGAATTCTGCGTTCAGGAACGGGACGAAGGAGGCGCCGCAGAACGGGCAGGCCGAGTTCAGGTTGGAGTCATCAGAGGTCCAGCCCGCCATGATCTCCTCGTCGTAAACCAGCGAATTGCAGCTGCGGCACAGCGAGCAGCTGGACATCAGAACCTGGACACAAAGCAGGACCATGAGGCCGTGACCTAAGAGAACCACGCTCACCGATCGTACCATTACCTCCATCCCAGCCCCCTCCTGGTTGGCGTCCCACGACCTGCGCAGAGGATACGAAGAGGTTGGCGTCTCTGTCAGGTCCAGGTCACTTCCTACAGACAGCGAGCTCTGGGGAGAGAAACCGCAAATCATTCTGGACCTTAAGCCTTTAAACCTGGCCGGCCCGGTACCGGGCCCAGCTGACACCTGCTCATTTTTATCTATTTATAGAAATGGCCAAAACTCAGTCACATGGTGTTTCATCCACACGCCTTTATAATGCGGCTTTAAAATTTGCAAAACATGTTTCAAAATTATTTTTTCACAAATACTTTTTGTTTTATAGCTGTGTAAACAAATAAAATGAGATTTAAAATTGCACCTGACATGTGAAACTCCGCGGGAGTAATGCATCAGCAGGGTTTCATTTTTAGCCCCGCCCCCTATTGGCCGCCATCATTGGACACTAGAGGCTCAGATCTTTCCAAGGAGGGGTCGGAGGTCATTGTGCGACCGTTTCAGGTGATGTAACCAACATAATCTTACTCTGTTATTCTTATTAATCTCTGTTGTTCCATTTGTAGATCACTAAAATAAGATTCTTCCTGATCAAAATCAGGCTCCTAGACCTAACTGTAATAATTTATTTTCTAAATTACATTTTTGCAAAAGAAACTGAATTTCAGAAACACAAAAAAACAGAATTATACAAATAAGAATTAAGTTTTATATATCTAGAAATGTCAGCTTGACTGAAAATGTATTTATGATATCTGAAAAAAAAAATCTTTAAAATAATACAAATGCTGACCATTAATATTAGGTATATAGAGATCTAAAATTAATTTCTAGACATCCAGAATGTTTATTCTAGATGTGGAGAATGTCGTTTTTTCAGATAATAGGAATACATATATAGTAAAAGTATTAAATGTCAAAATGGTTTGCCATAGCCTGTTGTTACAGTGAAAATATAGGATTATTTCTTGAATGGTAGTAGATCAATATATCTATTTAGGTGAAATCTTAGGGCAGCAGATGAGGATGAAGAATAAAAACGTTCTAATATATAGAACCTGTGGATCATCTCATGGGTTCCTCCTCATGTTGATTCTTTAACTTAGTAAAGTGGCTGTTTGCAGACAAATGACCGATAAGAGGCTATCAGTCCCATAGCATGGCTTCGCATTGTGCCTGTAGGCTCATTAGGTTGTTATCATCGAGTGAATCCTAATCCTAACCTTAAAGTAATTCCATTTTTTTTTATTTATATATATATATATATATATATATATATATATATATATATATATATATATTTTTTTTTTTATCAATATTTTCATTTTTATTTTTACATTTTTTTAAATTTATGATATAATAATTTAAAAAAATAAGCGTAATACCATTTCCTCATGGAATTAATTAATCCATTTATGTGTAATCTTAAAATAATTTCAGTAGTTCTTCATGTACTGTAAATATAACTAAATAAAAATAAATTGATCTGCATCTCGCTCAGTTTAAGCAAACCAAAAACAAACAATCTCATGCCCTGTCAACTGAGTAATAGAATCCTCTCCCTATAAATTTTACAGATCATTATTTAATGAGATCCTCGTAAAACAGGCATGCAATGTCTGTTTTTAAAACCTAATGTGTGTGATGGACCTAGTGAATGATATATACCGTAAAGTCCGGTCTATAAGCCCCTACTTTTTTCCCGCTATTTGAACACTGCGGCTAATACATGTTTTTTTTCATGGCGCGAAAAACAGAAAAATAAAATTGATGAGTACGCCGCATGCGAAGGGCATCTTTCGCTGATGTCTGCCAGTGGGTTCTCAATGCGTGGAGCCGTGTGAAAACATCCAGCATCACCGGCGGGTTTGGGAAGGCTGGGCTGCTGCGGGATGAAGAGGACCGTGAGAGCGACAAGGATGAGACTGAAGTCAGTGACGGCATCCTGAAGCTGTTCCATTCAGACACCGAGGAAGAGGACTTTGAGGGTTTTAGTGCGCAGGAGGAAGAATAAAGTGATTAATGACTTTTCCTGGTCGGCTGCAATGTTCTGTGCTTTGTTCAATTTAAAGTACCGGTATATGCAGCGTTATTTGTGTGTTACCGACATTTACGTATATTTAAATGTGTTACAGGTAGTTTGAAAAAAAAGGATTCGTTATATGTACCGTATTTGTTTGTTTTATCATACGGATTAAATCAAACATTTAAAAAATGCTCATGTGTAATATCTTTATTTGTAAATATCTCATACAATGTGGGAAACCTGCGGCTTAAAATCCGATGCGGCTTATAAAAGTATAAAATAGGTTTTCTTTCTAAAATAAAAGCATGCGGCTTGTAATCAGGTGCGCTCTATAGTCCGGAATTTACGCTATATATATATATGAACGAAACTACAACAAAAATCGGACTAAATCAGGAAATAAAACATGATTTAAAGTTAAATTTTTTTTTTAACTTTTTTTACTTTAAATCAGGAAATAAAATAAAGGACGCTCCGAGTTTACTGAAGAAAACCTGCTGCTGACTATGGTGTTAAATTGCTGCCAAAAATCAGACGAGCGTATTAAGCAATCACACTAGTGCAATTATTAGTCACAACCGCGCATTTAATAATGGAAAAAGCGCATAGCAGTGATCATAGGCGTGTATGGTTATTTGAGCGCCCTTGAACGCAGCACCGCGTGCAGAAAAACACGCCCCCTCTACCCATCTGTCTGCTCTAGTAGAAATATTATGCTTCCTCGCTCTGTTTGGGGGGAGTTTCTTTCAGTCTGGGGGAGTTTCTGTTCTACTGGATCTGATTTTCAGCTAATATCCAGTGGAAGCTAGCAGATAGCTTGGTGTCTCAGAATGATTTCTAGTAAGCAGTTATATTTGAAGCAGTCAATAATAATAAAGTAAATTAATCTTGTTAACCAGCTTATGGTGTAAAATTGCTGTCAATTTTTCGCAGCAATTTAACACCATACAGACCAGGTTAGCTCTGGGGAGAAACAGAGATTGAATAAACTGAACCGGAAAAGTACGTTTTTTGAGTTTTCGGTAAACCTGCTTCATGAAACGGACTCCTGATCACCAACCTGCATCAGACAAGGACAGATTTCTATCACATGACCCTGCAGTCACCTCAGAGGTGGCGTTCACCAGCCGCTCCTTTGCCCTCAGGAGAGATTCAGCCATTTGGGATTTCTTGGACTGCCTCTGATCCGACGCTCTCTGGCCAATACCTCCGTCGTCTCTTCCTCCTCTTCCTGACCGGCGGTTTTCAACGCTGGCGGCTCGCCTTACCGACCCTCTGTGTCTGGTTGGTGTTAGAAGCTGCTGCAGTTTTCCTGCCAGACCGGCTCGGCTCGGAGACGCGACGTGGTTGGAATTCTCATCTACGACGCCGTCCTTGTTTCTGTCACTAGAACGTCTTGTTCTGTCAGACCTGCAGTCGGAACATGAATCCTCTCAGATCAACCAGAGCAAAGCTGGGAAAAAAACGGGGAACCAACACCGACCTGCTGTATCTCTCCTCTGGATCGCCACTGGAGTCCAGCTCCGACTCCACACACTCAGCGTAGAAGGTGGAGAGGCAGACGTCACTGCGCCGCACCACCGCTCCTCCAGAGGGCGCTGCAGGTGGAGCAGATGCCTCTCTACGACCCAGCGGCGGTTTACGGAGAACGGCGTCCCCATCCGTCCCTGAACCGTGGAGGAGGGACGACTTCTTACAAGCTTTGATCTCTGAGGGAAAAAGACCAGAACTGAATGAAGGTGCTGACCCGGTTCTGATCTATGGCTCTGATTGGTGACATAATCCATGATAGTCCTTTTGGACCCAGAGGACCGATGACCAGGCTGGGCAACCCTAAAGTGTTGATGACACGATGCTGATATTTTCAAGTATTCTTTGTAGACCGAAACATTAAAACCGATGCGCCCGCAGAAAATATTTTTTTTATCAAAAAACGCTGCCATTCGGCAGAATCTAGTTCCGCTCAGTGTCCGAAGGACAAAACAGGAGAAACGTATATGAATGTATAGAACCACTGAGAGCTGCTGAAGGTTTCATTGATTATGATACAACTTTGCCTTCATGTTGTTTCACAGCCTTTTTCTGGAACCCCCATAATGATGGCGTCACCTTATTTAAGTTTCTTAAGTATCCTGAGCTGCTTTCAAAGTGGTTGAATGAGTCAAAGGAGATCGGGAGAAGTTGGGCTGATCTATCTCTATAGTTCTGCTGCTATAGGCTTAGACTGCTGGAGGACATAGGGACCCCTTTTTCATCATTCTGCTTCATTCTATCTCTATTCTCC